GAAAAAGAGACTTTCTGAGCTTTTCGAAGAAGGCTTAATAGAGAAGCATGAAGTTGATGAGAAAGAAGGCAATGAAAAGATGGCGGCAGTAAATGGTGGAGGGTTAAAGGCCAAGAGAGAGAGGTGGGTGGAGGCTGTGCAGGTGAACAGCTGCTTACCTGGCTTGCTTTCCAGTTGTAGGCCCGTAACTACTACTACTGCTACTCAATAAGCACAAGTAAGAAGAAAATGAGCCCTTCACTCCTGTGACTCCAATTTCGTTGAATGTATAGTTATGAAAAAGGCGTGTACCAGACTGTGATACACGCATTTTATAAATTTTCTCAATATAAATATGCTTATGTGAGTGGTATGGTACAGATGAATTATGTTGACCATCAAGTCTGAAATGGGATGTTTTGGGATCTAGGAAACAAAAAACTTGGATTTTATTTTATTTACATCAAACACTTTCAAAAAATTCCTTTTCGCCCCTTAAATTTTAAATCTTTACTATCGTTGTTTTTTCAACCAAATGGCATATTTTTATACCTTTGTATCGGAATATACTTTACTTTTGGCATTATGTATTTTCTTTCTTTATTTTTCTTAGATTTTAGTAAATAAGTTTGGGATTTTTTTTTTTTTTTGAAATTTTGGAATACAAAATATTTACTATCACCGGTTTTTCAAGTAAATGACATCATTTTAAGCCATAGTATCGTAATCTTACTTTGTTTTGGGTTTGTATTTTGAATTTTTTTGTTAGATTTCATTAAAAAACATGTTCTTGAAATTTCGGATTTGTTTATTTGGATTTTGGACATGTTATTGAAATTTTCGAATACTTTGTCCTCAAGGTTTAGTTCGAAATCCAAAATTTACTTTTTTTTAAGAAATGTATTTTTGATGTAAAAGACCCTTTGGACTTGTCAAATCCCCTAATCTAATAAATAAGTACCAAATTGCCACGTGGCAATTTCTCAGCATCCCCCAAGTTATTTTTCCCGCTCAGAAATGTCTAAGTGATATTCCGAAATTGCCCTTTTGGTCATTTCAAACTCACAGTGCAGGAAAATCAGGAATCGTGATCTTCCAAAAAAAATTCAAACTCATTTAAAATCCCATTAAAATGGAAACTTGATTCGTCCACCCGGCCAATTCATCAATGGATATTAAATCTGTAATCAATTCTGAATCCCTAAATTTTAGTTGCCAAATTTGATGCAATTTTGGTTTTCATATAATTATCTTCAATCTTCAATCTTCAATAAAATAATTATCTTCAATTTATTTATATCATATCCCTGAAAACAAGATAAAATTTTGAATTAATTTCTATTATACCAAATATATCTCTAATACAAAAGGAAACTAAAAATCTATACAAAACTGAAATGCACCAAATTCAAAATTTTCGAAATTTAAATCCCAAATAATCTGGTCGTAGATTAAATGCATATGCATATATTAATCATCCACGATCCACGATTATGCTGCTCAGTTTTGTTTGCAAACGTATTCTGCTTCAAACCTTCTTTAATGGCCGAAGTTCTGATTTATCATAACAAAGGGTGTGTTCTTTTATTTGCTTGACTTTGCCTCACTTTCATAATACCATGATACTTTGAATTCATAATATTTTAACAAATGAAATTACTTTTCTTTCTATTGCAACACTTTAATTTTGTTTTTTTTTCATAATGTTTCTTTTGTTTTCTTCTATTTCGTAGATATACTGTCAAAATAAAAAATAATTTTCAGAAAATGTATTTTATTATTAGTAATTTTCAGAAAATGTATCCAGTTTTAATGATATCTTCCTCAGTTCTTTTCTTCAACTCAAGAATGTTATATAAACTGCAGCAACCAGAACGATTCTAATACCTTTCATTTTCTCTCTCTGCATTCCTTTTCTCCTCCAACAATTCATAATACAAGGTACAAATCTTTATTACGAAATTTAAACATCTTCTACTACAACTCCATTGCTTTTCCTGTTTCATAACAGTTCAAAGTTATCAACAGACTGTTTTTGTTTTTTGTATACCAAAAAAAAATCATTTTCTGTTTTCATTTTTTGTATATATCACCTGCTTTCGTTATCTAACAAGTAACAACTAAATGATTTAAATACAAAATAGTTTGTTTGTGTCCATTTCTCATGGTTCAATATATAACCATTCGATGAAGGGTAAAATTGGAACAAACTCCATTTGTTGCAATCAGAGTCAAATACATAATTGGACCAAAAAAAGGGGGAAGTAATACTTAAATACCCATATGAATGTTTTCATTTTTTTTTTTGCTTTATTTTTTTTAATAACATCCTACTTTAACAATTTTTTCAAGCATAATTATCAGTGTTAAATTGCATGTAAGGTTGCATTTGCATTTTCATAATTTCTTGATTCTATGATAGTTCTTCAAAATATATCCATAATATCATTATACTTTAAAAAATGATCATTTATGTCATGTTTTATTTGACTAAAATCTGCCACATGGACCATTTACGTAAAATTTTCTTTAAGGATTTTTTTCATGATTTTCATGACACATAGCATGCATCTTTTCTATTACTTATGTTTCAAACTGTTATACTTTCAAAATATATCCATAATACCATTATACTTTCAAAAAGGACCATTTATATCATATGTGAAATTTGTTTCTTCATGTATTTTCTAATGTATTTCAAACAAATGATTATTGATTTGTTTCAATCCACCAATTTGCTATGAACTCTTCACACATGTTCAAAAGCACACTAATATCTACGCTTCCTATCAAATGTGACTTGCCAATTGTTATGGTGAAATTTGTTTAACCATTCACATGCGTGCATATTCTATTTTCTAAGTTCCACCATAACATATTCAAAATATGGGACAGTGCATGTTGTTGCACAATAACACAAGTTTTGGTAAGTTGACCCTTCCATGTAAGCTTCATATTCTTATGTATGGTGCCTTAAGGAGTTATCTGTGCTCACCACAAGGGGACAAATCTCTATTGTTGGAATTACACCCTGTTACAAATAACACAATGTAATAATATTAAGTTACATATGTTAAATTAAGTGCAACTAAAACATGAAAGTGTGTTTGGTGCCTTTTGTCTGTCTATGACAAATATGAAATTAGGGTTTACCTGAAGATCGATATCATCATCCACACACTCTAAGAACCATGTCCATGAGTTTAGAGTCACACTTTCAAATAAGCTTACGATCATAAATAACAATTATGTTGTTGCAAGATTGTGTGAAGTGGTTCATGACAAATCTTAGTGATTTTTGGTCCTGAACTAAATGACAATAAAAAACAGTTGTGAGTAATAGAGATGCGTAAAATGATATGTCCTCATGTGAGTTGCACGTAAGGGAAGTTAATGGAAAACATAAGTTAATGTGAGGGACCAAAACTACTAATTTAGTTTGAAATAAAGACCAAACTTGCAACAATCACCAACTTTGGACTAAATGTGTAATTTTGAAGAAATTTTTGGGACCAAACATTTAATTTACTCTATTTTTTATACATGAATTTATAAAAGGTTCATATTGCTTAATTAACATTTTTCTTTATTTTTTAAATGATAAAGTTTTTATCAACTAACAAGACGTGAAGGCTCTGTTTGGCGTTTTAGTTGAAAAACTAGTTTTTAACTTATTATTTTTACCAAACAACTAAATAGAAATGAAACATTACAAAATAAACATATGAAGAGTTTATACGTAAACAAATAGTGGCCTACCAAGGAAGTCACATCGATACGGGAGGTTCAGTGTTTAAGTCTTTGAGTTTCAGTAAGGATTTGGGAGGTTCAATGTTTAACTCTTTGAGTTTTAGTTAGGATTTGGTAAGAGAGGGTGTTTATGATTTCATTTTAAAACAACTTATTGATTTATTGACTTTTTAAAAATTTAATAAGTTAAAAAATAAGTGTTCAGCAATATGAAAAAGTCTTTTAAAATAATTTCTCATAACTTAAAAAAAAAGATTTCAATAAGTTAGGATTTCTAACGTTTCAAAAAACTCCTTATAACTATTTTTATTGTAAAAATTTAATACCCATTAAAACATATGTAAATTAGGACAAATATTTTTTTAAAAAATAACTTATTAATTTTTTTTTATCATAAAAGCTAGTTTAAACACTTTTTAATTGTTTTTTTCTTACCACCATAAATGAATAAGTCATTTCATCTAAAAATAATTTTGAAGTTCAAAATGAAATGTCAAAAGGAAATATGACCCGTACTTTGATTTCTTAACATATTATTTAAAGAGCAATTTTATCTATATACCGCAAAGTGAGAACCGTAATGGGTGACTAGTAACCCATTTTTTTAATTGTAAACAAATCTTAAGATGGAATTGACATAGATCATCCATAATGTACAACTTGTTTTTTTTACTATAAACATTTTTATCCAAATAATCTTTTATTTAACAACTAATGAATAATATTACTACAACTTATTTTTTATTTTTTGTTTAATAACAACTAATGAATAATATTTTTTTATTATAAACCTTTTTTATTTAATATGTGCTAGACTAATCTTATCTTAATCATTCATATTGTTTAATCAACAACTCATTTATTTGTTTACACTACAACTTGGCGTAAAATAATATTACTTATCCAAATAATTTTTATTCAACTAACAATTAATGAATAAAAAAATCCACGTTGTTAGCATATCTACCATATATTATTTTTGGTTCCTAGACTTTAAAAACGAAAAACAAAGACCTGCTGAATATATTCTGATTTGAATCTTCGATCTTTTACACCATGTTTGTATGTTTTTGAGTTCAACTTAACAAAAAAAAATCGAAATTCGTGTGATTCATTAAAAAAAGGAAAAAGAAATAAAATCATAACTTGGAGGATTTAAAAAAAAAAATTAGTTTCATTTTTTTTTTAAATTTAGAAACATAAAATATAGTAATTTTTTTCCTCTTATCTTCTCTCTTATTTTATTTATTTTCTAAAACTCGAAAACTAAACTTAAAAGAAGTAGGAGTATTTGGTTCGTTCCTAACGGATCCCGGAATATGCCATTTTATTGTTGAAAAAGACTGAACCGGCGAAAAAAAGGAGCTTAAAAGTGACGCAGAAAACCCCATTCCTTTTCTGTATATTTTCCAACGACTCCACTTGTGCTCCAATTCAGATTTCCAGTCTACGATGCCGGAAGAGACGACGTCCATAGATTACGTAATGGAGGCCGCCTCCGGTCCTCATTTCTCCGGCTTACATCTTGATGCCCAATTCCTTTCTTCCCCAAGATCTCTTTCTTCCTCCCTACTTGCCGACTCAATCAAACAGCCTTTCGTCATAGGTATTTGCATCATAAACTGTTTTCTTTAAATCGATCACTCCTGTACGAGTTTAGGTTTTCTGATATGCCACTCAATTGTTTCTGTTGACTTTTTCGTAGGGGTTTCCGGAGGTACTGCTTCCGGTAAGACGACGGTTTGTGACATGATTATTCAACAGCTTCACGATCATCGTGTTGTTCTCGTCAATCAGGTTTGTATGCTATTATATGCCGTTTCCAGTGCAATAGTAAAAACCATTGATAGAGTTTACAAGTAATACTGGCCCCATTATCAAAGGTGTATGATTATAATTAAGGTTCTGTTCGATGCGTAGGGAGGAGGGGTCCGCATTTCTAGCGCTGGCCCTGTCACTTGGTCTTACTGTAACTTTTATGCATTTCAGGCAGGGCCCAATCAACTTGTAATTATAGTCTATACTGTCTATTGTGCAAAAAACTTCATGGTGTGATGCCTAAAAGCTTTAGAAGGTTACAGCATTTATCGTGATATTGATGTTAGGAAAGAGTTCCCCTATCATTACCTGATGTTAGAATAGAGTTCTTGTGTTGTAAAGAACCATCAATCAAGTTGAGTTAGAAGTTTGGCACTCAACTGAGTATTTTTTTACCCCAATTTTCTTAATTTATGTGACATGGTTATTTAATGCATTGATATGACATGGTTGATGTTAGATTTAGCTTATCATTAATTACAGATACATGCTAGATATGAGATTTCTGGTCTCTAGGTACTTTGTAATATATAACACTTGCTTTATTATTCTTCCACTGTTCCAAATGTCAAACTTCTAAATCTGAATTAATAGTATCCTTGAAGTTTCTAATATTCCTTTCCTTGTTTAGGATTCATTTTATCGTGGCTTGACTGCTGAAGAATCTGAACGTGCCCATGAGTATAATTTTGATCACCCTGGTATTGCTCTCATTAATTTAGGGTTGTGTCAGTGTTCAGCTTGCTCATACTTTTAAGTTTTAAATAAAAAAACTCCGTTGTTGTAGATGCTTTTGACACAGAGCAAATGCTAGAGTGTGTTGAAAAGCTCAAACAAGGAAACTCAGTACATCTTCCAATATATGACTTTAAAAACCACCGCAGGTGCTCTGAATCCTTCCGCCAGGTATTCACTTCTGAACATGTTGTCTTCAGTGGCACAATTGAAAATATTGTTGAATTGCTTCATCTGACCATAAAATTAATGCCATGTGATCTTTTAAACTTGTTCTTTGTGTGCTTGTCAGGTGAATGCATCTGATGTAATCATCTTGGAGGGGATACTGGTATTTCATGACCAAAGGGTTCGTGACTTAATGAACATGAAGATATTTGTTGACACAGGTGTTCATTCTTTTACCCATACTTGTTACAATGAATTTTATGGAACTTACATTATTCATTGACAAATGACACATACTTATGCTAGATGCGGATGTGAGGCTTGCACGTAGAATAAGGCGAGACACAGTTGAGAGGGGTAGGGATGTCAATTCTGTCCTTGAGCAGGTAAGCACCACTACTTTTTGACTGATGATTTAGTACTTATTGTCATTAACCATATGAAACTATACAATGAATAAACACCTTATCTTTTTGTCGGTTGTGCAGTATGCTAAGTTTGTAAAACCTGCTTTTGATGATTTTGTTCTTCCATCCAAAAAGTATGCTGATGTCATCATACCACGAGGTGGCGATAATCATGTTGCAATAGACTTGATTGTGCAGCATATACGCACAAAGCTTGGTCAACACGACCTCTGCAAAATATATCCAAACGTATATGTGATTCAGTCAACATTCCAGGTATTCCTTCACCATTTTACCTAAAGTAAGGGCATAATGGTCATTTTACATGGGCGACCCCTCTACCCCTCCCCTATAGCTTTAGTCGTGGGGACCAAAAAGGAAACAGGGACCAAAAAGGAAACAGGATTCCTGTTTGGACCAGCTCCAGAAAAAATTCACTATAGCACAGGGACTAAAAGTGTAATTATGCATATGGAAATATGACCAACCAAAGAGTTGAAATAAAGCCTTACAAAGTAGCTAATATGGATACACAACATTCATCTGGCTACATATGTTTGTATTGTAATATAAGAAGGCATTACATTGATTCAAGATCCGTGTTACAGATTCGAGGAATGCACACACTGATTCGAGATAAAGATATTTCAAAGCATGATTTTGTATTTTACTCAGATCGACTAATCCGACTGGTATTTGAGTCTCTACCCTATTTGAGTTTCTGTAATTTTGAGTTTTTATTACTGATTAAATGATATTGGTGTCAGGTTGTGGAGCATGGCCTTGGTCATTTACCGTTTACTGAGATGCAAGTAGTCACACCAACAGGTGGTTTGTTTTTTTCTCATGAAATTATTTATATTGCTGGAGATTAAAGTGTGTATATTCTCACGAATGCCCATGTTTATATTTGTTGCAGGATCAGTATATAGTGGAGTTGACTTTTGCAAAAAACTGTGTGGTGTCTCTATTGTTCGAAGGTGAGTGATATGATTTATTAGTTTTTTTTTTTTTTTTTTTTCATGTAGGAAAGGAATGGAATGTTGCATAAGCTTTGAAATTCTATTATTTGTTTGTTTTACAGTGGTGAGAGTATGGAGAATGCATTGCGTGCATGTTGCAAAGGTATAAAAATTGGAAAAATCTTGATCCACCGTGATGGTGACAATGGGAAGCAGGTAAATATATCATTCATTCCTCTAGTATCATATGTGATGTGGCACATTTTCCACAATCATAAATAAATAAATAAATAAATAAATAAAACAAATTATCTTCCATAACACATGCAGCTTATCTATGAAAAGCTTCCAAATGCTTCCAAATGACATTAGTTAGTTTCTGAAGTCGTTATTTCTGCATGAAGTAAAAAAAAGGAAACACCCAACCCATATATAGTTTGCCAGATTAAGTCGATTAAGCAAAAAAGAAACATGATTTTATTGTTATGGGGAACACTGCAGGTAATTCGGCTAACCAGGCAATTGAACTGCTGATTCAGAAAGGAGTACCAGAATCATACATAATATTCCTCAACCTCATCTCAGTGAGTTTGGAATTGGTTGTGTGGTTTATACAATTATACTTTATATTGTAATGGTGATGTGATGTGGTATTTTATTGTGTAGGCTCCAGAGGGAATCCATTGTGTTTCAAAAAGGTTTCCAGCAGTGAAGATAGTTACATCAGAGATTGATGTTGCTTTGAATGACGAGTATCGTGTCATACCTGGTCTTGGGGAGTTTGGTGACCGTTACTTTGGCACTGATGATTGATTGATTGATTGGGTGTAACCATCTGTCATGAGGTTTCTTTTTTATTTTTTTTCTTTCTCCTGAGCAGCAACCAACCTTAAAGGCCGGGTTTTGCAATGGAAGAAGTTTCATTCTGTACTTGTAAGTGGTACCCTCGTGTGTTTTGGTGGGTGGTCATTGGGTGTATTTGCTTGTAAATAGTAACGCCACAGCCCACAGGGCATGGATTTTACACACGCTTTTTTGGGGGGCCAGACCAGAATTGATCTTTTAGGAAGTTCAAATCAAATATGGACATCTTCATCATTATCATGTTCCTTTGTTTTGTTTTATTGAGTAGAGGACATTATATTATGCGTTGTCTCTGTCCATATTAGTTGTGTTGTGTCTTGTCGTTGGAGCATCCAAGACTAATAATCGTATTTGCTGTTTGGTGTACATGTGTGCATGTTACCCATCAAAAACATTCAACAACATAACTTGGTATTTAAGAAATAATTTTTCTAACATGAATATATAATTTATGACAAGTGAATTGCAATGAGGGATGAAGATGTTTATTTTTGAATAATCTACCGATACATCTTAGTTTTATGTATATTTAAAATAATGTATAATGGTATAAAAAAAAAATTGATAATCTTATTAATTATTGAATTCCTTGGTCATTGCTACTAAACAGAGGAAAAGACAAATTTGCTTCTAATCATTAAACCATTTGCAAAGAAATAAAAAAAAAATAAGAAAATACCAAAATAGCCTATGCAATCGTAGGTGGGCTCTCGTGGGCTCCGCTTTCGCTTAATGGACTGAAATTGTGTTACAAGTATAAAAACAAATATTTAGATTTTTGTTATTTTTGCATGACACAAAGTTGTAGATGACATCAATTTTGTCAGCACAATCTCATATAAGATTTTTGAAATGGAATTTGATTTTATCATGCAAAAATGGTAAAAATAAAGAAAAAAAGAAATTATACTTTTGAGGAAACTATAAATCATAGCCCACGAAGGCCCATCTCCGGTTTCATTGACCGTTTTGGTCATTCCTTAATATTTTAGTTATTTATTGACAAGTGGTTTAAATAAATACGCTAAATATGTGTTTGATAAAAGTAGCTGGTAGTTGGTGGCTGGTAAAAACTAAATATGAAATATAACAAATAAAAAAAAGGCAATTTTAAAAATTGATTAAAAACTCAAAAACGTTTTTTTTCCTTAAACACTACATGAAAGTAACTTTTCGATTTAAAACATTTTATATAAACTAAAAGCTAAAAATTCATACTTCCAAACGAAAAAAATTGTTTAAACTAAACATTTATGCCTAGTTCCTGAGTTTTAACAAAGAAAAGAAAAAAAAAAAGTAAAAACAGAAAAGAAGAGAAAAAAAATGGAAACAATTGTTTCTGTATTCTTTAGTTTGAAAAAGTGAAAAGAATATATATCTCTAAATCCTTCTAAATGGAAAGAAAAATGATCACATTTCATTTCCTTCTATTTTCTTTATTTAATGAATTTCAAAAACATCACTGTCTTTTACTTTTTTTTTTTTTTTTTTTTTTTTTTTTTTTTTTCACTCATTTTCTTTTTAAAATTAAACAAAAAAAAACGCCCTTATTTGTCTTTTTACAGTAAAAATTACAGCCATGCCATATTACGTTTTTGCCCCAACGGATGGAGAAGATACTTTTGAGTTGTGTCTGATGCATTTATCCATTCGCGCGCTACCAGTACGCACTTTACGGCCACCGCGGACCAAATATGTCCGTCTTCTTCCTCTCTGCTCCACCTTCGATATCCGCTTCCCTCATAACATCCCGCTCTACCACAACCGTCACCTCCTCTTCCTCTGTTCAAATCCTCCCGCTACCACTCTCGCAGCCACCTCCATCGACATTATCTGGTCGATTATCTTCAAATTCTTTGCTTTCAAACCCCCAAACCACTCCAATCTCATCGTCAGGATGTTCTCTTAACTGTCCTCACTTCGACTCGTACGTCACTCAACCAGTAGTGTTTATAACATTTTGTCACTTCTATTCGTACGTCACTCCAATCTCATCTTCAATTATGGTTTCATTTTACAGGTGTTCAGGCTGTACTCACGAGGATAATCTCCATCGTCCTGTTATTTTAGAAGAAGCTACTACCTTCTTCAAGAAACTTGGTGTCTCCGATTTCACTTTTGATACTTGTAGGCTGGTACACTCCTATAAGCCTGAGTAGAATTAATGTGAAGTAATTTAGAGTTCAAAATGGAAATGTGCCTCTTTCATTCCTGGGAACAGAAAGTATATTGGAAACAAAGCTCATGAGTTCACAATTGAATATATATACATATATAGTTTTGTTTTAGCCTCTCCATCATCATGGAATTTACTTCTAAATTAATGGATATGTGTGTCTATAAAGTAAACATGCTTTCAATTGCAGTGGGGATGGAGGTGTCGTGCTAAACTTGCCATACGGGGTTCATGGTCTGATCCTCTGATTGGTCTCTATCAAGAGGGCACACACAACGTAGTGGATATTCCTGACTGCAAAGGTCTGAACTTGTGTCAATGTATCACAACCTTTTGTAGTATTATGTTAACATTAATGACAAGATAAAAGTGATCAATTCAACTATATTTTGTATATTTCACATGTTTCTGTATCTTTGTTAGTTCCTTTTATACTTATGGTGGTTATCACTAGCTCAAGCTTTAAAAAAAATGTCCTAAGGTTACCATTTGAATTCATTTTGATCTAATTGTGCAGTTTTTCACCTTTTGTCTGTGCAGCCCATCATCCAAGCATAAATGCTGCTGTGGAGCTTCTGAGAAAAGGTTTGTTTTTATGTTCTGAACTCAAATTATGTTCTGGAATGTGTATAAATCTTAGTAGACAAAAGTTGAAAAATCTATCTTTGGTCTTCTGACTTTTTGTTCAGGTATAAAGATTCTGAACATTGATCCTTATGATGAAGATGAACGAACTGGTTATTTGAGATATGTTCAGGTGCAACATGTTTTCAATCTAAATGAAGCTTATTTATTAGTAGTGAGTAAGTGGTATGTCTATATGCTAATTTAATAGTTATCTGTAGATGGCTGTCACTACATACAACACATCTCTCCCTGCTTCTGAGAGATATAGAAGTGGTTAGTTCTTCATTGGGTATTTACATCACATGTTGGACTATTTAAAAATATATTGGAGATCAAAATTGAAATATTTGTTTGTAAATTTACAGGTAGAGTACAAGTTTCTATTGTTTGGAACTCACGTAGTGAAACTTCACCAAGTTTTGAAAAGTTGAATGACTTAGCTACTGTAACAGTTTTTAACCTCTCTCCTTTACATCTTTTAAAACTTAAAGTCTCCATGAAAATAAGCTTAAAGTTTTTTTTTGATATACTTTGTTTGTGGTTTGTCTTGTAGTTCATGTGGAGAAATGGGGGGCCAAACAGCAAAGTTCATTTAATTCATTCTGTTTGGGCAAACTTCCAAACATCCACCAACAATGTGAGTGGTGTTCTTTTGTTTTTCAAGTAATACTTTTGTGAAATAGTTGCTTTACAAAATTCAAATTACTATTTTTTTTTCTGAGATGCAGGTAATTTTTGGAAATAGGTGGAGGCATCTATTAGGAGAAAGAGATTTCTGGGAGCATGTTGGAGGAATTGATGTCTATTTGGCTCCATCAAGCTTTGGCCAAGCAAATACAAGGGTAAAACCGTAAAAACAGAGTGGTTATCTTACTATCCTTATCTTCTGTTTCTTGTAAATGTGATTGTTTTGTTTTTTTTTTTTTCAGGCTTTTGATTCTTTGCTTCAAAAACTACATAAATATGTCCCTCTTGGTGCATCTGTTACTGACCTATATGCTGGAGCTGGAGTCATTGGATTGTCACTGGCTTCTGCAAGAAAATGCAGGAAAGAAGTGTTCATATGTTGCTCTGATTGTTTTGAAGTTTCATTCATTTCATCAACTAAAATTTTCAATCTTAACATTTTCAGATCAGTTAGATGTGTGGAGATCAATAAGGAATCCAAGCTGGCTTTTGAGAAGACAATCGACCGATTACCAAGCTCCATTGACAGCAGCATTAGCTGGCATCTTGCTGACACTTCAGTTGTTAGTCTCCAACTCTTCTTCTCCGTATTCTTATTATTTGTTTACTTTATGGGAAAAAGACCAATTTGCCCTCTTAATCTAACGCCATGTGAAAAGGGACCAAAGCTGTAGGAAACAACAAAAGAAATACCAAAATTGCAAAAAAACAGCAATACTCAGGGGTGGCATTTTTGTAATTTGGTCATGTACAATATCTCTCAGGAACCACTTTCTTGGCTTGTGGGATCAGAAGTTCTTGTGGTTGACCCTCCTAGAAAGGGACTTGACCCATCTTTGATTAGTGCTTTACAGGCGATTAGATCAGCAGAACGTAAAGCCATGACACTTGAAAGGTAGAAATAGTCAAGAAGTTAGTTGTTGACTTTTTTGATAAGTAAAGTTACAATATGGATTGTTTTTCTAGTCCAACATTCAAGGCAAAAGATGAAAAAAGACCTTGGATTTTAAGAGCAAGAGAAGATTCAATTGAAATTCCAAGTAGAACCACACAAGAAGAAAGTCGGTCTTTACCTCAAACTCTTATATACATAAGCTGTGGTTGGGAAAGCTTCAAAGATGTACTTCTAGATCTCATTTTTTCAAAATTGTTACTTGAATATTATTTTTGAGTTTATTTATCAATTTAATTTCATTGCATTAATTGGATTACAGAATTGCATGGCGTTATTGTCAAGTAAGGCCTGGCATTTGAGTAAAGCCCATGGTTTCAATTTCTTCCCCGGTACCCAGAGGTATGTCTTTTTTTATTATAGCATATTGAAAATTGTTTTGTATTTGAATGATATTGCTATGTCATATTTGGGTAGCTTTTTTTTTTTTCAAAGTACAATTCTATAATAGGAAGAAATGAAAGTAGGTTGCTGCTCCTTGCACTTAATCCTTATAACCATGGTTAATAATATGTATATTTGTAGTTTATGTGGTCTAGTTATAATGTGTAATGGATATATACTTGTAAATTTTCTGATGTTGGATTATATTTTGCTGAGTGTTGATGTACCTGTGCAAAAAATTGGTGTATGCAGCATTGAAATTTTGGCTGTATTTAAACGAGGAGCTGGAGCAAGTGTGAAGAAAAAGAAATCTGGGAAGAAGAAGAAGAAGAAAAATAAACCCTCCGTTTCCTTGTAAACATTAATTCATTTCATTATCATTAGATATAAACTTATTATGTATGTGTATGACCGACTAAACAATGCATTTTTTTTTTCTAATGTTTTATAAAAGAATCAGTTAAGTCAAAAAGAAATATCATCTTAGACATGGTTATAGTTTTTGTTTTTTGTTTTTTTCTATTTCAACAGAAAGTTAACCATCTTTAACTTTACTTGTTAATTAGCCCATACAGTCTAAAGACCTTGTGAAGGAGGTAGTTATAACTTATAAGGGCTTCCCAAAACTCCACCAACTATCCCAATTATTACAAAAAGGATGAGATCAACATCTAAGAAAAGTTTGGCAATACACATACAAGATTGAAACAAATTGAACTCACTTAACCATTTTTACCCTGAAGGCCTGAAACAGATAACAACCACGGTTTATCATCCCTCATTCTAAAGTAGGAATGATATCATTCTACCAACATCATACCTTTAATACAACAAATCAAATTTGTTGTTTAACAAGATATACAACATGTATAAAACAAATATGATTAGTCTCTTGTAACATTTAACAAAACATGTGTTTAGCATTTTCTCATACACGCTAAATCAAAAATAACACGATCCATGAACATCAATTTCTACACAAATACTGCCGTACAAGTTACATACATAACATTATAGGAGCAACTTAATTTAGAGGGCTATCACTAGGCATGTCCCAGTTATCATCGTCATCTTCCCTCTTCTTGTTCACACTTTCCACCTTATCATCGTTTGGGTTTCTAAAAGGCGTGCGTCTGTTTTATTCACCAAAACAAAAACTTGTGTTAGCCATCAATGATAATGATGGAGATGAACTCATTTCAGTTTTTACTCTAAAGATAAACAAATACTGCCTTGTTTTGGAGATTTTGCCCTAAAAATATTTTCAAATCTTATCAATACAGGAATGCAATTGAAATTGAATCCCATGTGATGCTAAATCGCACCAAAATGCATATGGGTTTAGTAGTTGCTCTAGCTATTCTAAACTAATGGTAGTAATTCATCGAATTCGCAGAGTGATTGATGTTAAATAAACGGATTCATATCGAAATTGGAATTACCTGCGCCGATTGCGCTTTGCAGCCTCGCGAGTCTTGCGTTTTTTCTCTTCTTGTTTGTTCTCGAAGTACCTGCGACGCTTACATTCCTGGATGACGCCAGCCTTCATAACCTCTCTACGGAATCGTCCTAGTAGCTTCTCCTCCGGCTCGTTGTCCTCCACGATGACCTGAACGTTATATGCCGAATTGAAGTACAGAGTGTTGGCGTATGCCAGAGATGGACAAACCACAGACATCAAATCATTGGAGCAAGAAGAAGATGATGATGAAGAAGAAGCAACCAATGGGGCAAACGCATCTTTGTGCTTCGATGAGGAATCGTTGGAGAGAGAGAGGTGCGACGGTGGAGCTTTGGACGGTTGTGTTGGAGCTTTTAATGGTGTGAAAATAGATAGGAAATTCGCTAAAGCTGAAGAAGCCATTGATGCAAAAATCGAGCTCACAGATGAGACGAGTGACCCCTCTTATCTCTCTGTCTCAACAGCAGGATGATAAGCCCAACCCCGAATCGGAATGGATAAAGTGAGTTGACTCGGTTGTTCACATTAACATATGGGCTTTGTGTTTAACCCATTTGGTATGTACAAGCCTAAACCAAAATTTTATTAAAACCGGATAAAAACGCTGGTCATATTTATAAACTTTATTTTTATTTAGTTTCCATTTTATAAACTTTATTTTTAAAACCCAAAATTTAAGAAATAAGTTTATAACTAAACAAAGGACATAGTTACAAAAGAATGTATCTCTTTTAATTCAGTTTGCTTCATTTAATAGCTACATTTTTTTAAATGGGTGTATAAGTTTATGTGGTACCATAAACACATTTGAAGAAAGGATAATGTTTGCATTAGTTTATACGTCATGAAAACACAATAAACATATATATAATTTTTAAGAGAAGCTATTGTGTACAATCCAATTGAGTGCTTATTAGCATTACTAAATCATAATGAACTAATAAGCGAAAATGTATTAGTTGTATCAAACGGAAATAAGAAGCTATTTTATGCAATCAAAACATTCAAACTCACTTGTTAGCGGTATAAATCATAATAAGCAATACACTTTTAAATAAGCAATCTCAAACACTCTCTTAAATGATACTGTATAACATAAATTTGGCAATATGCAATAATTAACCTCCAAAAGACTTATTAGTTTACGGCATCACATTTCCATTAAAATTTATTTAACAAAACCTATTTTTACAAACTCATTCCACCACCTCATTATTTCTAAGTATACATTTTATTTTCGAAAAAATAACATTAACTGACACTTTTTTTGGAATGTAAAACCAATTTATTTTTCTAAATCAATAATTGATTTAATTCTTCTTCATTCGTAGTTAATTAGTGTCACAATACAATGAGTAAGAAGGCAAACAGACAACAAACTACGTCGTTAAACATTTTTATATGATAAAGTCAATTTTTTAAAGACTACATCCATAGATCTAGGGGACATAACATTGTTATGCATGGTATGTTGTATTCTATTAAAAAGTTTCACCGCAACCAACATGAGGAATCCAAACGTATCAAACGCAAATGGTATGAATACTTGTTGATTTTCCATCCACGATTTCTCATGTTTTTGTGACTTTGCATGTAATAGCTTTTAAAACCGTCTGTCTCACCTTGAAACCCCCAACCCTCAAGCCTACGAGAGGAGATACCCTTGTAAGGTCCACACAAGCATGTTTCCCTCCAACCCATCAAAAAACCAAAATGTCAACCGATCTAAGGGTTGACCTTCCTTCTGTCGAGTCAATCAAGAAATTCACAGGTATCTCTTTCTTAGCGGAAACCCCGACACACTTAAATATGTCCAACAAAACATATTATACCATATTGTGTCGGTACTTGAACCCCAATAATTCTTTACAATGAACCACATGTTCACCAAAAGAGTCCAAACATGCCTTACGACACACCTAGTATATCTCGTCAACCGGAAATATTGGAATCATGAGCCGATATTTAAGGATAGTGCAATACTCCACAAAAGACATATGTTGACCAAACATATTTATAAGGATAGTTAGAAGAAAATCTTGAGCATATGGTTCTTGTAAACACTCAAAAACTGTTTTTTGTCGAACCGTCATATCAAAATGCACTAACATTGATAATTGAATATATATTATATGACAACAATGTTTTTAATTTGTGATACTTTTGTCATTATTAAAATTTTGATAAATACTATTTAATGAAATAAATTTCTATTTTTATTTTTTATTTTGATTTAAGTGTATTAACTATTAAGTTTCCAATAAATAATAAATATTTCATATATATAATGAAATGTAATTAAATTTAGGGCGAAAATGTATAAAATTTCCAAGAAAAGCGAAAAAATTAATATTTATTAAGTGGTTTGGATAACATTAAAGTTTATTTAAATGATAATAAAGTTTGTAAAAAACTACAATTTGAGATGCTTGTCACCATAAGTTTTACTTTTGCCGTATAGTCATATTTTAAAACAAATGTTAGAAAATATAATATTATAAGTTAGTTGGGTTGATGCACCGGGTTTTATATCCATATACGTGAGGTTGAGAATTTGATTCTCTTAAACTACCTTTTGTGGAGTCACATGTGGAGAATTTTTTCCTGGAAATCCCTTTGGGGGCTTGGTTTGCCCTGTAAAGGAGCTCGAACTCAAGGTGTTCGCTGAAATATTACGAGTGGGTTTCCACTTAATTCGTTTGCCGTATCCAAAAAAAATGTAAATTGAACCCGAATGATACAATTCAAAACATGAAAAACCATAATCGAACGATACGGCCCAAATATAACTTGTTTGTCGTGAAAATGTTGACTAAAGCACATATAACTTGTCTGTCGTGAAAATGTTGACTAAGGCACACGTAAAACACATTTTCAAACACGAATGTGGAAAGGTTCTAGCCATGAGGCAAAACGGTTGTTGTGCTGATCTAGGTTGTGTTTGGCGCCACAGCTAACTAATAAGCTAGCTTATTTTTCGAGTTTTTTTATATTGTTGTGTTTGGCAAGCCAAAAAGTAGCTTATAAGCTAACTTTTTAAAAAGCTACTTAGACTAGCTTTTTAGGAGCTTTTTTAAAATTTTCCAAATATACCTCTTAATTAATTATAGAAATAAATACTCTTAAATGTCATTTTATGTAATTTTATATATTTCAACTAGTTTTACCAAACGTTATTTTTTATCAGTTAGCTTTTCAGTTATCAGCTAGCTTTTTATTTAACAACTAGTTTTTCAGCTATCAGCTGACAGTTAGCTTTTCAGCTAGTATGTCAAACATAGCCCTAGGAGAAAGGGAATGATGTTTTTTATGTTGCTGACCTCAAGGCAAGGTGGAAAGAAGCCTTGTTGGCGTCTGCGTTTTCGTTGAGTGGTACATCGTGGTGATCGACTGTGGGAAGAGAGGATGATCGGAGGCAGACAACGAAGAAGGGGGAGGAGCAGGTTAAGATGATAATGTCAGCCGATATTAGGACTCTATACCATTAAGATTGTTATAACCATTTTCCTTTTCCATTCCACATGCCAAAATATAAATATAATGAATCTTTATAAACAAGAGATGTACGATTGTACACCAATATAAATACAAAATATAATCACTAATAATCTTATCCAAGATAATGTTGACCTTTGTAGTATAAGTCACTGGTTTAATTGAAAAAATCATATCTAAAAAAGATTGTGAAACCATAGAAAAATTGTTGTAGAAATACTTTATACATGCATGTTCGCGACACATAGGTTGAAGCATAAGTCAAGTGTCTTGGTCTTTGTGCTGTTTACTCAATTAGCGTATAACAGATATTTAACTGCATTTGATTGAAAATCAAAAAGATTCTTTTAGTTATAAAGTAAACTACTTTCTTTTTCCAAATACATTAACAAAAACAAATGGTACCTCATACATTAATTATGGTTGATTAATTCTTTATAAATTGGTAATACATCGCATGAGCATAAAATAGACGATAACTCAATAAAATCCAAATATATTGATTAAAACTTTTTTAATTTAAGTTGTAATGGGCTACTTATATTAGATAGGACTATTAAAATATAAAGTATGGCTATAAAAATACATATATTTTAGTTGTCTAAAATACTAAGGCTAAGGAGGTGACGCCACAAAAGTTGCACTCCTTTCACTGCCACGTAGGCGTCACCTCACCCTTTATCACGTTTTGTTTGTTGAAAAAAACGCAACGAACTTACGCTTTTGTTCAATTCTCATTAGAGGCAACCAAATTCATTAGGTATACAACTAGTTGGCAAATGACATTGTATTTAATGACATGGAATAAACAGATTAGAAATGCCCTTTATATATCGATTTAGGGTTTGGAGAAGAGAAAAACGAACGGGGTCTGTGTTCGATCTCTTGTAATAGCTACTTCTTCTTCTTCCTCTCAATCGTTGATGTCCAACTCAAGATCTACAAAGAAGATATTTGATGATGCGAACTCTTGTGGATGTAGATGCTCTTCTCGGATTTGGACATCTAGAATGGAGGATCATCCAGAGATAATGTTTAGGGCTTGTTCGAACAAAAGGGTAAGTGTAATTGAAAGTTTTATCATGTCCATTTTAATAAGTTTTTGTTTTTGAAAGAAACCAAACAAATAGATAGAATATGGACATGATAAAGCTTTCAATTACACTTACCCATCTGTTCGAACAAGCCTTGAACTTTTTTCTCTGGATGATCCTCCGTTCTAGATGTCCAAATCCAAGATGGGCGTCCACATCCACAAGGGTTTTCATCATCACATATCTTCTTTGTAGATCACGAGTTGGACATCAACACTTGAGAGAAAGAATAAGAAATAGCTATTACAAGAGATCGAACATAGATGTCGTTCGTTTTTCTCTTCTCCAAGCTATAAATCGATATATAAAGCGCAATTCTAATCTGTTTATTCCATGTCATTAAATATAATATAATGTCATTTGCCAACTAGTTGTATACCTAATGAATCTGGTTGCCTCTAATGAGAATTGAACAAAAGCGTAAGTTCGTTGGGTTTTTTTCAACAAACAAAACATGATTGGGGTTTTTTGAACGGTTTTGAAACTTCGTTTGTCTTACAAGTCATTTTCCGATATTTAATTACACGTCATAAGTCATGTCATTCGTTGACTTTCATTAGTCGGTTGACCCTAAATAAGAAGTGAACGAAAGTGTAAGCTAGTTGGATTTTTTTAGACAAAATATTAAGTCCGTTGGGTTTTTTCTTGAACAGACAAAACATTATTGAGTTTTTTGAACGGTTTGAAAACTTCGTTGGACTTATAAGTCATTTTTCCAACTTCCATTCTGGCAGCGAAAATGGATCTAATAAGAAATAACTAAAAGCTTTTTATTGTTTGTTGTTTTAGGCATCACGTTAACGAATTAAGTTT